AACTCAGGGAACAAATTCTTGAAGTGACAAAGATTGCTCAAAGGGAGGAGAATAGAGGTTTTATTGTTTTGTGTTGTTTACAATCTTCTCCCAGCTTCATCTGGATTATAAATTTCCCAAAAGGAACACAGCCCAGAGCTGGGCTGCAAGAGTGCTACAAAAACTTTGATTCAGCACTGGCTGTACTTCAGCAGCAGGATGTTCAACGCTTTACATGACCCACAACCACTTAGACAAATTAGGTTTTTTCTGATCTTTTTCTCCTTTTGTATTTATTGTAAGAGGAAAGCAGAAAATGAAAAATGAATTTAAAATGATCCAAGACCTGCAAGAGGGAGATAGAACAACAAAAGGCATCCCCTTCTATCATCCTCAGTCCTAGAAAAGCCTTCCAGATTCCCTTGGTATCTTTATATATTACTTCATATTTCAAGTACTAGATGCAAAAAAAAAAAACTGTACATAGGCTACTGAGAAGCTTTCAATACCTCTTACTGCTGTTTTTTTTTAATATTTTTATTGTTATTTATTTATTTTTATGTGGTGCTGAGGATAGAACCCAGGGCCTCACACATGTGAGGCAAGCACTCTACCGCTGAGCTACAACCCCAGCCCCCTCTTATTGCTATTAATGACAACATTTGGATGTTAGTCACTAGGCATACTTACTTAAATAACATTCAATAATCATTTATCAAGCACATACTCTATACCAGGCATTGTGCTAAATACCAAGAAGTCAAAAGAGTAAAGAGAAGGAAACATGTAAACAATTTCAATGCAAATTTGTAGAGATTTATACTTGTGCTATGGAAACAGAGAAGCAAGGCTTATCTCTGTTCTGTTGGCTGGTGGGTGGGCTGGCAGGAGGTACAAAAAAGCTTCACCTTTAAAAGGTAAGGGTAAGACTATGCCTTAGTAAATGAGTAGGCATTTGTCGTGCAGAGACAGAGGAAAAATTGGGAAGCAGAGAAAAACAGGGCCAAAGGAGAATGGCTTGTATCCACCCAAGGGGTTGTGTGGATATAAGAAAAATAAAGGCCACAGAAGTTATAGTTTTATAAATGCTCTTTAAATACTAGTGGTTGATAGAAATAACTAACTCATGGAGCT